TGTTTCATCTCAGGATATAATGCATAGACCTTTGTTTACCGATTGTAGTTATTTCCAGAGTAAAAATACCCACTAAACCAGATTTATCGTAACTTAAAGTTGTGTACTATTTATTGTACGGCGGGCGTTAATGGGTTAATGACAAGACAAGAAAGATAAGATTAATCAACGAATTACTATTAACGCTACAAACAAGAATTTATTGATGTCTTGTATTGCCTTATATTGTAAAAAATCGCGTAGGGATATTAATTTGCTACCAAACTAGCCTAACTTTACTAATACTAATTCACAAACTTTACTATGAGGTCTCACAGTGCGCGTGAACGCACAGGGTAACACACGAACCAATCACAGAGCTCTATTCAACGCTGTGCGTTCGATTTGCGCAAGCGTCGTTTGTGAATACGGGTATAACTCTAGACTATGGCTACCAAAACAATTTATCACTATAGTTGACAACATTGGGTTCGAATCTTAGGAAGAGCACACCAAGCGCTACAAAAATGATATTGCAAAGCAACGTATTGTAATTCTATTACATTATAATAGATTACAAATATCGATTTTATCTCTAATCGAGTGTCTATATCGGTGTATCATTTTATATCAAAGAGTATTAAGGTCATGTAGTTCATATATCAATGCTCTATTGGCTCAGTTATTATAACAACAATCAAAAATACGACTCTGTTTAATAAATGGTGCATTACCAAACAAAGCCTCTTTGTAATTAGACCGTCATAGCTCGCAGAATGGGGATGTTGCCTGGGTCAAAAAGCAAGAGTTTTAATTAGTCCGTCAGTTAACTAATCAAAAAATACTCTACACGTATTTTTCACTTTTTCAAACTAATGAAAATTTAAAGAGATAAAGCGCCCCAAAGTTCATAAGAAGAGGCCCGTGACGTCAACGCTTGCTTAAAAATGCCGCACGTTGTGACGTCGTGCGCAACTTCAACGCACCNAAGCAGTCAACGCAATTAAGAACATCAGGCCTCATCATAGACGAGACGAAGAAACGGAAGCCCAGGATTATAGTACTGGGAGTTCCTGCTTCCATGGATGAAACTGAGGTATTTAAATGCATATACCATCAAAACCTAGCCGACAAACTTCAAAATACGTCACTGGAAGCGTTCATGTCCTCTATTAAGCTAAGCCATAAATCAGGGAGGAAAGACACCGAAACCTGTAANCAATATTTTTTGATATTAAACATTACGGACTAAAAAATTTTTTTAGGCAACTAGCCTATTGCTAAAATCAAGTGGCAGTGGGCGAGGCACATAGCTCGTAGAGACAATGGCTGTTGGGGCAGAAAAGTTTAATATTTGTACATTGTGAAGTGAATAAAATGAATATGAATATGAATATGAAAGTTCTCGAGTGGCAACCACGGGCCGATAGACGTAGCGTGGGCAGGCTTCCCACTAGGTGAACCGAAGATCTAGTGAAGGTCGAGGGAAGAACCTGGATGCCGGAAGCGCAGGATCGACCGTTATGGAAATCCTTGGGGGAGGCTTTTGACCAGCAGTGGACGTCATTAAGCTGAAAGGATTGGACAGCACACCAAGCTACGCACTTTGGTGTCTTATTATAGGTCTAAATAGTAGTCGCTTTGCAACGAAAATGTATGTCTGGATTAGCTATTGTTTGTACAGTTCAATGCCATTAATAAATAAAATGACTGCTAAAACGTAATGGGTATTATAATATCTCATCTTCCTATAACGCAATTTAAAACATGCCAAATTGATGAGGTCAAGAAGTAAGGAACTAACATCATTATTTTGTAATAATAAACAAGTCTTACTTACCTATTCCTGTATTACAAACGGCGTTTAATCAAATACAATCATAATTTTTCGATTAATTTAATAATAGACTAATTACAGGATAACAGTTTACTATTCTTAGTTTTAATCGATATTTTAACATTTTTTCAAATTACTTAGAACTAACACTTCTCATTGTGGTGTGTTGTTTTAAATAACTCCAATGATAAGTATAATTATTAACGTATACACACTAAAAATACGCATTTTGAACAATCTTACGTGAGATTATAGGAAAGGAGGGGTTCGAGCCAAATCTCAAGATATCTCACCAAAGGGGGAGAGGGGGTCCAAAAATCTCTAAAATCACCTCACGTAACTAATTTACACCCCTTAAATTAGCCAATAAATTGATTGACCTGTAGCTCTATATCTAAATATATAAAAGGAGAAACTGACTGACTGACTGACAGATCAACGCACAGCCTAAACGGCTAAACGTAGGCACTTGAAATTTGGAAGGGACGTTGCTTAGGTACCGCAGAGGTGCACTAAGAAAGGAATTTTCGAAATTCCCACGGGAACGGGAATTAGCGGGAAAAACGGGATTTACGCGTACGAAGTCGCGGGCGGCCGCTAGTCTTCCATAAGTTCCATAACTATGCGATACCCATTAAATAAACTTAATAACATAATCAGTGCAAAATCAGTCTCTCAATTAACACCTAGGTTAATTACCGCGGTAATCAAGAAAAGTAACGAAATAGCATAATGGCGTCGCACAAAAAATCGGTTAGCTTGAGCGATCTATATGTCGACATTTACTGTAGGGGTGTCGCTCGTCCGAATAATCGGACACGGCTGTCCGGGTCCGGTCAAGCTAAGGCTAATTTGCATGGACTATTAAAAATAGTGCTTACTATAAAATAAAAATAAAATCGTACAAAATAAAAAGAAAAGACTGATAAAAAAAAAACATTAAAGTTTCGCTCTTATGGAGTATTCACATGTACCAAAATGTCCATAATCCTTTTTCCGTACCAGCGCTTTGATACCAACATTTGGCAAGTGCTGAGAAGAAGCACAGCAACAAACTCAGTCACCACTGTCTGCCGGTTAAAATAAAACCTTTCTTAATCATGATTCAAACCTGGTACCTCTTAGATGCCAGTTGATCAACTGACATGTAGAGTCTGAATGTTAATTTAATTTTATAAAACACGGACGGTTAAAAGCATGCCAAACAATGTGTTATTTTATGAAGTTGTAATTGGTTTTATTTTGGAACGTTTTTTTTAGTTTGATGCGATGTCAAGTGAATCTCTGACATTATCAGGTGTCCGGTGTACAACTCGTGCATAGGCAACCCTATGCACATGTCGACATTATAATTACATATTAAGCGTAAGTATATGGGTCGCGATGGCAAAAGACGGGCCGGTGGGTCATGTGAAGCTCGCACAATGGTTCAATCGGATAGCGCACTGTGATTATTTTATTACTGAACTAGCTGAACGGAAAGATTTTATGAAGTTTTAACAATATAAAATCTGTTGGCAACTAGAAATTGAATCCATTAAACTTTTACTTTTGTCTAGAAACAGGTTAACTTGTATTGTATTTGAGGTTAAGCGCAAGTTTTATTATGTTAAAGTAATTTTATTCTATTTTTAATGTTTAACAAAATTGAACTCATTCAATTAGGGTTTTCGCGTATGAAAGATCCGCTAGATGGCGGGACGTGGATGTGGGGTCTTCTGACTGCTGCGTGATTGGTGGATTTTGACATATCTGTCAATGTCATGTCAAAAATAACCAATCATGCAGCATTTGGACCTCGCGTCTACGTATTGCCATCTGGCGGATTTTTCATACGCGAAAACCCTCTGATCATAAATTAAAATTCGTTGATTCAAATGTTTTTAAATTGAATATCACTTAGAAACTATCAATTTTGCGTATTATCTTTAGAATCCTTCTCCTGGATTCAAGCTATCTAATACCTAAATTGATGTAATTTTATTTAGATTAGGTAAGTATGAGCTACAGGCATATTGATTAAATAATGTGATATAACATTAACAATCAAGTCTACGATCTTAATGAGAGAATAAATGAGTTAGCTTAGAGTACTAGAATAGGTACTACCTAAATTGCATGAGTACTTAATTTTTATAATTATGAAAACGCAAACTCAAGAAGTAACGATAAAAAGATAATACCCACTACGTATTTTCACAAACCAATTACCTAGCATCCTAACTCTATGTCCAAATAGGGTTCTAAAGCCATGATTTCATTTTAATGACATGAACGTTCTCGGTGATTTGCTCTACATTATGTAGAGCTTAGGCACGAAGCAAAAACTCTAGGTGGAATCATCTAGATTCTAGAGATACTTAACAGTTAGGTATTCAGATGTAAAGAGCTGATTTAGGCTGAGTTGCACCACCTAACTTTGACCGTAACTATAACGATAACTGGTTTTTCGTATGGATTTTGACAAATTTTGACGTTTGTCAAAGTTAAAGTAAAATGGTGCAACCCACCTGTTTGAGATTGCGTCTATTATAGTTTAGAAAATAGTAATGGAAAATGTCAAAAGTCATAGGTTCTGAAATTGCGTAGCTAGATGGCGATGTGCTTCGTTCAATCGCGATATCATTTGATTTTTTCCTGGCTATTTAAGTTAAAACATTAAGGTTCAATATACTTCACTTTACTTGGATCAGTGTTTTATTTTACAACCACGGTCCGAGCTTTTTGGGACACTGTACACCCCCCTTAAGTTCTTTCGTTATCGTTATCGTCGTCTTTTATTGCTTAAGCTATTATTTCAAAGTTTTTTATAAACTGGTAGGTAGGTAATTGGTAAAAAATTGGAGTCTAGTTACTATTATGGATTGTTACGTAGTACCTATGTCTAGTTTCTCTTATGGTTATTGCTGCATAGTTGTCTTGTCTTTATTGAGAAGTTGCTGTAATTAGTTATATTATTATTTACTTCTAAAATAATAATACTTAAGTGATTGTTACGAACTTGCCTATCTAAGTATTACATTTTCAATTGTATTGAATAATTTTTATCATTATGAAAACGCAAATTCAAGAACTAACGATAAAAAGTTATTACTCACTACGTATTTTCACAAACCAATTACCTAGCATCCTAACTCGTACTATATTTTTTTAATATTAGGTCAAAATAAAACATATATATAAATACATTCTCGTAATTAATTTATTTACATTATATCACACAGTGACTCTTGCTTATTTCTATACATTACTGTACAAAATCACATTATGCTTGAATTCTTTTTTTTACATTTTTCAAATGCCTCCTATATTTAATCGTGTATTTCTCTAAATAAGATCATTGACTTTGGTTTAGTATTTGTATCCTTCTTGCTCGTCGAAGCTGGGCGGCTGACGAGGTCCACCGAACTCCTGTCCAAGTCGGGGCTGGTTGAAGGATCCAGAGGAACCTGGAGCCTGAGACTGTCCAGTTGGTTGAGACCTTTGGGGCTGAGAGCCTTGAGATCCTGGGCGGTTGTAATTGTAAGGCGCTGACTGCAGAGTCATGGTCTGTCCAGCAGATCCAAACGAGCCTTGGCTTGATCCAGAAGGACCAAATGAACCTTGGCTTGACCCAGAAGGTCTGAAAGAACCCTGGCTTGATCCAGAAGGCCCAAATGAACCTTGGCTTGATCCAGAAGGTCCGAATTTGCCAGCTGAAGCCCCGGAACCGAATCCTTGTCCAGAAGGCCTGGAAGATCCCTGACCAGCAGGGGCAGAAGATCCGAACGATCCAGATGGGGACTTAGCAGCAGCTGAGGGTCCAAAAGATCCTTGAGAGGAACCGCTAGGGCGTCCAAACTGTTGACCAGAAGGAGACGAGCCTTGACCGTTAGAAGAGGGTCCGAAGCCAGAACCAGCTGGGCTTTGGGGGCGGTTGTATTGCTGAGGACCTGCTGAGCCAGCTCCAGACTGTGGACGGAATCCATTGCTTTGGCTTGACTGGCTGCCAGGGAACTGAGACTGAGGCCTGTCGTAGTTGTATCCATCATCACCACCCTGAGGTCCACGAGCAGCGGGAGCATTCTGGCCGAACTGACCTTGGCCTGAGGAAGATGGCGCGAATTGGTTAGGACGGTTAGCGGGCTGGTTGAATCCCTGACCACCAGATGGCCGGGCGCCAGATGCACCAGACTGTCCAGCGTTGGGGGCTCCATATTGGGAAGAAGGTCCTTGACCTTTAGCAGCGGGTTGGTTAAAAGCGTTGGATGAGGCAGACGGCCTAGATCCTGATCCAGCCGCATTGGGGGCGCCGTAGAAAGAAGAAGTACCTTGGTTTTGGGCAACAGACTGGAAACCTTGACCTGAAGGCCTGGAGCCAGCTGGGCCAGCGTTAGGAGCGCCGTATTGAGAAGATGGGCCTTGGGCGGCGGGTTGGTTGAAACCGTTGGACTGTCCAGGGGCTCTCGAAGCAGGGGCGTTAGGGGCGCCATATACGGACGATGGGCTTTGACCAGAGGGCTGTCTTTGTCCAGCAGATTGGAAGCCTTGTCCAGATTGGCCAGAGGCTCTGAATCCTGAGCTGCCAGCGTTGGGAGCGCCGTACAGAGATCCTTGACCTTGAGCCTGGTTGTACTGAGGAACGGAAGATTCGTCTTCATCGGGGTTGTAAGCACCTGTAAAAATACATTAGGTACATTAGAGTAGGAATGTCTTAAATTAAATTAAATTACAATGCTATAGTAAAAGTTAAATAACCAAGTACGATTAAAGCTAATTTGAGATGTTACTGAATCCTATCTTATGACATTCTTATATGACATGCAATAAATTATTGAATTTGACCCTTAATAACAAAACTTCATTATCCTTTTGTTCAAATATCCACACTCACAATTTTCAGACCTTCTAAGCCACTTTGGGCCTAACAGTTGGACAGATAGCTGTTGGTTTTATTGATATTTTATACAAGATAAAAATAAACTAATTACTCAATTTTCATGTTTCTAAAATACTACAGTAAAAAAAACAGTAAATTACTCGTAAATCATTAAGCAAAATAATATTTAATATTGTCTATAAGTAAAGTATTGTTAAGTTAATTCTCTTAAGAAAATTAATCGTGTAAAATATTATTGAATCACTTTAAATAATTTTGATTTTTTTACTACTTGTAATAATAACAAAAGTCACAATTACCTTCTTGGGTTCCAGCGGCGGCAGCCCTTGCGTTCTCCTCGATCGACCTCAAGATCTCATCAGGGATGGGCGGAGAGGTCGGCAAATGGTCACCCTGGGGCTGGTATCCATTCTCGTCAGCTGTGTACGTCACTCGGTAGTTTTCACCGTCATCACCAGTGTATGCGAACGCGCCCTGAGCCTGTACACCGTTAGTGGCAACTCCTGATTCTTCAGCAGATATTCCGTTAGAGGTCTCGAAAGCGTATGAGAATCGTTCACCGTCATTTTCGTTTTCGTATCTCAAGATTTCAGCGTTCCTGTCAGCAGCAGCCTGGGCACGCTCAGGTTGTTGGCGTTGTTGACCTTGGCCGAAAGCGCCTTGAGAACCTTGGCCAGCTTGACCGAAAGAGCCTTGGGCACCAAAGGATCCTTGTCCGGCTTGACCGAAGGAGCCTTGAGCTCCAAAACCTTGTTTACCAGCAGCACCAGACGGGGCACCATAGACAGAGGAAGGTCGGCTACCACCAGCTGATCCAGATTGCTGACCAAAACCAGCGGAGCCAGAAGGCTGGTTCTGTCCGAAAGATCCCTGAGCACTTTGCCCGAATCCTTGCTTGGCAGCAGCTCCTGAGGGACCGCCATAGAGAGAGGAAGGCTGGCTTGATCCGGAAGGACCGGCCGCCTTACCGAAGCCAGCTGAACCAGAACCGGACGGTCCAAATCCAGACGGAGCCTGTCCGGCGCCTGAGTTCTGTCCGAAACCGGATCCTGACTGTCCAAATCCAGGCGCTCCTTGTCCGAAAGATGAAGGGGCGGGTTGTCCAAATCCAGACGATCCAGGGGCCCTTATGGCTCCAGGGCTGCCCCCAGCGGTGGCCGCGCTGGCTGGTGGGAGATACGTCCTGTCCAATTTTGCTGCATAGCCACAGGCTATCACTGACAGAACTAATATCTGTAACAATTAACACTTTTATTAATTATCTCAATTTTATTCTTATTTATCTGCACTGAATTTCAGTAAATTGAATTTTAAAAAAACACATTAACGATAAATCGATTTGGAATCGATTTGGAAACGCAACACTGATCACAACCGAAGATAAATTACAATTATTTTGTAATTCAAATAACCGAAGGGACTGCACTATCGTAAATAACCGATAACTTTAATTAACGTTTATCTGATTCCAAACAAGATAAAGATAAATTACCAGCTTCATGTCAAAAGCTGTTATTCGTCTTGAAGATGAGTTTCGAATGTGCCATATTACAGAATCCTACCCTATTTATATGAAACTAATTCGTTCACTGAGAGTTACCCAAAGTACTCCTCACGTTGTAACCTTTGACTGGTCTCTGTCTGTGTGTTGCAACGGAGATCAGTATCGGTACACTAATTATTCGTAAGTAAACATGTGTGCGTGATATCGGCAGATGTGCTTTTGTTTATTTTGTAGATTAGGGTCCTGTTGAAATGTGACAGACCCTTTCTGTCACAATTTACGGACATTGCAATCATACGCATAGACTTTTAAGACATGATACGATTTTTAAATCGATAATTTCAACTATTGTTTTCGATTATGAAAGTTTTTTTTGTATAAAATTAAGGTTAGGGATATTAAAATAAAAAAATAAAATGATAGAGTTCCTATAACGATGTAATTATGTTTTTTGTAAACAATTGCGTGACACAGTCGATTCGTGATTATTTTCATTATAAGATTTATAAGTATCGTGAACAACGATTGTGAATGCGTCTAAAATCACTTCAGATGTGTAATTTTCTTTAAGTATCTCGATTCTATGATTGCCTACAAGTATTTGACCAATGTGATGATTACAATATTTAGAATGTGTTACAAAAGGTCCAGCACGAAGGGTTTGTATATTAAATGTTTAAGTAAACCTTGAATAAGGTATAAAGGTTAGACTTTTGATTCAGTTGTGACAGAATTGAACTTTGAAACAATAGCTAGGTGGTAATAAATATTCACCTGACAGCGCATCATATTTAAAGTCTTGAAGTGAGGAATTGCATCTTCCAGAAACGACTCGAATTCATAAACCGTTATGTAAAAAATACTTCAAATTGACCTGAAATGAAATTGAATCCGTGACCCGCGGTTGTCATTATAGCGCTGTCACGGCATCGGTCGTCAAATAACTTAGATATACCTTATCAGAGATATTATCCCTACTAATATAAATGCGAAGTAACTCTGTCTCTATGTTATGCTTTTATGCTTTCAGGCCTAAACCATCGAACCGATTATGATGGCTATAAAATAGTTGAAAATGAAAATGAAAATTATTTATTTGCAGAATGTGGTACATTAGATGTTACATAATGAAATAGAGCAGAACGCAAATGTTTGAGTCCCGGGATATGAAACAGGAAAGCGCGCTTTAGGCTGGGTTGCGCCATCTTACTTTGACTTTAACAACGTCAAAAATCTGTCAAATTATAAACAAAAAACACCGGTTATCATTAAAGTTACGGTCAAAGTTAGGTGGTGTAACTCAGTCTCACTCGTTTTCAGTGACAGACCAAAAATTCACATGGTTAAATTGACTGTCAAAAATTAGTTACACATAAAATTTACGTGAACATTTTGCACAATTAATTTAATTAGATTTTTGTGTTTGCTATATTTATCAAAACCAGGATTTCTTATTGATGACATAACTCGGAAATATTGGGAGCTTTTTCAGAAAAAGTTGTTGAAAAATCACATCTATTACAAGTAGTTAAGATACACAAATGTTTGATGCACTTTCGTCTTTACTCATACATCTTAGTCTACATATCGTAGCTAAACGGCCTTCACGATTTTAATAATAAAGATTTATACGAAAGAATACATGTACAATAGTGACTCTGTCAGTCTATTACGCTTTCATACAATTTAAACCAATTTTGCATAGAGCTATCTCTGTATGTACTGTTTTTTTTTTGTCAAGAAAAACACAATTTTGTATTTGATAAAGGTTTGTATGGGAAATCCATTATCACAGAGTCATCCCGTTCTTACTAGATACCGTTTAGTAGTATCATGTTTTAAAATTAACATTCACACGAACATCCCGTTTGCAGTGTCCCGCAAAAGCCGATCCGTTCGAATTTCTACACTACACTTATAATTTGGAATTCGAATTTCAACACATACTTTGATGTGGAACTGGACTTCTTCAACTTTCAAAATTCACGACAATACAGTTTTACAGCTCCTGCATCACTGGATCCCACTAAGCTGGATAACCGTGGGACAGGGCCCTTACATGTTGTAGATAAAGGATACAATAATGGATGAAATTTCATTAACAAGACGTCAAGAAAAGGTGGTTTTCATTGGTAGTTTCAAACAATAATTACTTTTTATTACTTTACATTGGCTTAGGCCTGAAATATCCGTTGTACTAAAATGTATTTTTCGCAAAATGTCTGCTATTCAGAATGTGAGCACGTCTTTTGCATAATGTCTGTTTCCAAGAATGACAGTTTTTGTACAATGTTCGCTTTTGGCACATACTGAAATTAAAGAAATGTGTTTATGAAGATTTTCTGAGACTGCACACATTGTAAATAATTGAAGACATTTCGATAAGCTGATAAAATAAGAAAATTGAAGACATTTCGATAAGCTGATGAAATAAGAATGCAAACATGATTAGTTCGTAGACTTTTTGAGAATTGTACATTTTAGGAAAACAGATATTTCAGGCCTAATGCAACTCTTAACGCTAAAAATTGTAATAACAACGCAAGTAAAGTCGCAAGCAGAAGCTAGTAATCACATCGTGTGCACAACACCAAATCGTGTCTAAATAGATACGTCTGAAATGTAGGCAAATGACGCCATCGCAGCATTAGTTTATTAATTGTCCAAGAAAGCCGGTACATGCTTTAGTGTGCATCAAAAGCACGACTCTTGGTAAAAGGGACACGACCGTGCTGTTCTATAGATTTTAGGTCTTAAAACTTAATAAATATACTGGATTTTTGAGTAAAATAAAAAAAAATGCAAAAGAGCAGAAAAAACTCATACAAAAAACATAACCCTCCTTCTGGCGCAGTCGGGTAAATACTGACAAATCAATTGATTTGCGAAATCACTTTACTCCTTGGGATTTTACTCTTTTCTCGTCGTGCTGTATACATTTTTCAACCGACTTCAAAAAAGGAGGAGGTTCTCAATTCGACCCGTATGTTTTTTTTTCTATGTTTGTTACGCGATAACTCAAGGGTGGTCACATTTAAATTTAATAATAGAAAAAACAACCCCCAAGGGTGGAAAATTGGGGATGAACTTTTTTATACACAATATCTCCGCCGATTATAAATCAATTTGAACATTTATATTTTTGTTGAATAGGTATTATCAAAAGGGTGGTTTCATGCGAATTTGAAGAAAATATTTCACCCCTAAGGGTGGAAAATTGGGGATGAACTTTTTTTTACGCAATATTTTTACTTTTTAGTTTTTTTTGTGTTCACGCATTTGAAGTCGGTTTTATTTTTTTAAAAAGGTAATTATCAATACAATAATAATTTTAGGCTGGGTTGCACCATCTTATTTTAACTTTAACAAACGTCAAAAACCTGTGAAATTTAATACAAAAAACGCCGGTTATCGTAATAGCTACGGTCAAAGTTATGTGGTGCAACTCAGCCTTAATGTATTAAACTGATAAAAACGGTCCTTATGCATTTCAATTGCATTCCAAATATACCAAAATATGGTATGAATATTAATAAAGTTTTAGGTAATTTATACAAGTTTAATTGTAACCCATCAAGAACCCTAGAGCCGTGAATACGCCATAAGGAAAGAAAAACACTGCTGTAGTTAGTCAGTTTAGTAAGAATATTGGAGACTAATTGAGTGAGAAGATGACATGATAGCTATTACAGACTGGGAAATCCTATGGTCCCGCCTAATAATATTAATATTTTATGTTTTACACGATATTAGAATAAGTACAAAACTTAGAACTTTTCTGCCCAATCCCATTAAATTATTACAAGCTATTATTTAGCATCACCTGTCTTAGTAAATCAAACCTTGGGAGATGGCTGACCTACTTTCTTGTATATTCGAGCTAAAATGTTGCATTCTTATGTAAATCGAGGATGCAATATCTTTAACGCCATATTTGCCACTTATGATGGTGTTAGACGTCAAACTTTAAGGATGTTTTGACGTGTTTTTCAATTACCTACGTTTTGAACCTAGCACACAAGACGTATGTTACCTACCTACATGAATCGCGACGAACCATGGTTATTGGTTATGTTCCTGATCCTGACTCATTTATATTGAAAAACTAATTAAATAACTAATTTTTCGTTCGTTCGTTTCAGCCAAATGATGTCCACTGCTGGACAAAGGCATCTCCCAGGTTCTACCCGCGACCTTCACCAGATCATTGGTCCACCTATTAAGAGGCCGGCCCATGCTACTTAATAACTACAATGAATTTTTTGTGTTTCTTCTGATGAATCAAAATAACATTTGTATCTGTTGATGTTGATGTTGTTGACTAGTCAGAAAATCAAGCAAAAAATCAACATATTTCTACAGAACCCTTCCAATTGCTCATCACATCTTAACGTGACGTGTACATAAAATCAATAACTGACCACCCAGGTCATAAGCCACACGTTTATCGTGATACTATATTGGTATTAAAAGTTATATTTCCATGCTTAAACGATGCTATTAACGAAGAATGTGGATCATCAGAGCTTAAGTTTAATTAAAGAATCTTAATTGCAAAACCGGTGCGGAGTAGGATACGGTAAAGGATGCAAGCTTATAAAGCTCGTGGCTAAGTTCAGAGTACGCCATTTGTTTATGGAGCTTCCGGTGTGTTAGCAAGAATCTAAATTTAGAATTCTAGGAGAGAGACTCATTTTATCGTGTGTAGTGTAGCAATAAGTCTAGTATAGGTACTTAATCAACTGTCGTGTCTGAAGTCGCTATGGATCAGTTTAAAGCTCTCTTTTTATCTTTTTCTGATCTTACCATTAATATGACGAAGCTAAATCTATCGAGAAATACATCATGGTGTGTGTGTGCTCGACCTAGGAATCGACTCTATGACCTACAGAATTCCTAAGCCGTGGAATATTTGTAGGTATGTTAAAAGAAAATCGAAGCTCTTTCCCAGGTTGATAAATAAATAGCTGTTTTCGCTAAAACTTTGTAACGTTTTAGGGTCAGAAAAACAATGCGTTTGTCCAGTTGT